TGATATAAAAGCATTTATCAAAAAGCTGGAGTTTTGGGAACAAAACCTAATTAACAGCGATGCCAAGAATTTTCCTATTCTTTCAGAAAAAATATCTCAAAATCCATTAGAACCCTATGACAGCAAATATCATGTAGAAATAGTTGCTACCCTGAAGAATAACTTCAAAAATCGTTTTAAGGATTTCAACGAAATGGCTTTAGTAGCGCAGTTTGTTGTTTTACCCTTTATAGAAATTGATATCCAACAGTTTGCAACTTGTGTTATGCAGAACTTTGGCGAAGACATCGCTGCAACAGAAATGGAAGTAATTGAGATTCAAAATGATTTAGCCTTAAAATCGTTAGTCTCAAGTACCAAATTTATCTGGCCTATTGTAAGTAAAGACAAATATTCCGTTCTATGCCGTGTTGCCTTGAAAGTGAAAGCATTATTTAGTTCAACCTATTTGTGTGAATCTTCTTTTTCCAATATGAAGTTTATTAAGAACAAATATCGCAATCGACTTACAGATGAACATTTGGATAATTGTATTCGAATGGCTGTATCAAATTATACTGCAAACATTAAAAAAATTATCGATGAGTTTGAGTGTCAGCCTTCTCATTGAACGTGCTTTTTTATTTTTCAATGTTTATGTTCATGATAGTGCTTTACTTTTTTGTTGTTATTTTTAAATCTTACGTGACATGCCGTTGTGGCTGGATAAAAGTTTGTGTTTATTTTTCAAACACCTTCGTTTGGTAGGTAGAAATGTAGCTATGAACAAGTACGTACTAGTAATATTAGTTAGTTTGTTATTAGTTTATTATTAGTACCTATGTATTATGTATTACCAGTTAAATAGTAAAATAAATACATATAATGATAAATTAACTGTGGATTATTTCATTTACGTTGCGTTACGTGGCTTCCGTGTGGTAGCTCGCTGTTTATTCCAAAATTAACAAAGTAGTTCAACACATTGAGAGGTTGGCGACCACTGGTCTAGAGGGTATATTTTGTAAATTTTGCGTTATTTTTTCAAAAGTGGGTGGTGTACATCATTCAACTAAGTCTTGGTGCCACTCCACTAAATAAGTATTCCAAACTATTCGGAAAAGATGGCGATTTGATAATGCATGATAAATTGGTCTATCATAGTAAAGCTGTTACAGAGGGATATAATTTAATTAAAATTTATTAAAACCCAGAGATAGATGTAAGAAATACATTAGATCAAGAAAAAAAAAGGCAGATTTTAGAAAATAAACTTAGATTGAAACCCATTCGAGTCAGTAATATTTTTGGGACGACAAAATATTCCTTTTATAGGTCATAGAGATCGAGAATATCTTGTCGTTTCCGAAGGTGCTTCTGAAGATGAGGATAGTCTTGTAAATAATGAAGGTAACTTTCGTGAATTAATTAAATTTAGAATAGAGAGTGGCGATGTTGTATTAAAAAAACATTTAGAAAACACTTCATCTCGTGCAATCTATATTAGTAGTTATATGCAAAATGAAATAATTGAATTCTGTGGTGAGACGATTTTAGAAACCATTTAACAACGAGTAAATAAAAGTCAATTTTATAGTGTAATATTTGACGAAACCACGGACATAAGTTATGTCACAAATGTCAATAATCTTAAGATACTGTTACGAAAATTATCTGTACGAAGATTTCGTAGGCCTTATTGATTGTCACGCAATGTTTGATGAGGACACATTAGAACCAACAGTTAGTGATACAATTTTGGCTCAAATCTTATTTAATTTTATTAAAAAAATTAATTTAAATCCCGATAAGTGTATAGGAATTGGAAATGATACTTGCAACTTAATGCTTGGTGAACAAAAAGGAGCCGTTACTAAATTAAAAAAAAAATAACTAATGCACTTAAAAGTCCTTGTTCCAGCTACTCATTAAATGTATCTATTTCAAAAGGCTCAAACGTTCAAGGTGTTAGAAATGCCGTTGGCGTTATAAAAGAGGTAAATGCATTTTGTAAAGCTTCCGCAAAAAGAAATTTTCTTCTTAAGTCTTTGTGAGACCAAATGGGTTGAACGTCACGAATCTGTGCTTCAGTTTCAAAGTACTATTCAAATAATTGTAGACCTTCTTGATATTATTTCCCACTGGAAAGATCGGGACGCCTCTTCAAAAGCAGAATGTATAAAAAATGCTATAGGTTCCACCGTTTTTATAGTTTCTTTATGCTCTCTGTCTGATATTTTAGCTTTGACTGTAAATTTAAGTAAAATATTGCAGAAGAAGTCAATTGATAAACACTACATTACTACGCTTACACAAATTGTTATGACCATTTTAAAAGAAAGGCTTTGAAATTACGAAACTTAATTTAGGACCATTTTTACTTTAGTGTCGGATATTCATAAAACATTTAGATTTAGAAATTATCAAACCAAGAGTTACTCACAGACAAACGTATCGCCCCAATATATCTGCAGAAAATACGGAATCTTATTTTAGACTTGGTATGTATATTCCTTTGTTAGATAATATATTGCAAGATCTCCAATTTTGTTTTTACGAGGATGTTATGGGTTAAAAGATTTTATATTTGGCATATAGGAATAAAAACAAAATTACTTCTCTTCTTAAAAATAATTTATTATAAATCATAAATTGACATATTTTTAAAACCGAGTTGTAAATATGAGTAGTTAATGGTCAAATTTTAGTCTTCTTTTTCTTCCTGGTTCTCATCAAGAACCACAGAACTTATTAATTAGATATCTAATTATTTTAAATTATCATATGGCCAACCTTATATATCAAATTACACTAGAATTAGCTGATAAACTCGGTAATAAGAAAAAAAAAACTGACAGGTTTTTTTTCAAGCTTTCTTTTGAAAAGCACGTTTTCAGAGGAAGCTTGCTCTCGCATTTTTGCGGATTTTTCACAAAGAAAAAGTTTATTTGGAAGATTATTTTGTTTAGGAAACATAAACAAGACTCTACTTTTGAGGATAGAAAAATCCATATAACTTTTTCGATTTAATTACCGCTTCTTTGGAAGCCACATTTGGCCCCATACCACCTCAGGTAGGTTTAAAATATAGTTTGGATATAAAATTAGTTAAAATAATAATTCTTACATCATTTTACATAAAATAAATCATTATTTTAGGCCTTTTATTGTTAGTTTTTTTAACTAGCTCATTTACAACTTAAATAGGTATAGTATAACCGTGTCAAGGTATACCTACCTCTGGCTACCTAGTAAACCTACTCATGTCAAGAGTCATAGTATAATAATTGGAAGTAAATTGTCTCTTGCTGTAGTATGGATGTTTAGCTGCAGAACCATCCTTGAATCCACTCTGTACTGTCAAATGGTGATGGAAATTGTGTACATATTGAATGGAAAAATACGGAGGATCCCTGGAAGTTACAGATAAGCCTTAGACATAAGTTTGAAAATTAAAACTCAAAGATATAATTTATTTAAAATAATCAATTGCCTTTTACACTTAATTTCATTAATTTTTCCGGTAATTTACACTCACTTTGTAAAGCAAATCTTCTAGAAGTGCCGCTAAAAGCTCTGTATCTAAAGGGCTATTTTGTTTGTTTTAACCTAAAAAAAAAAAGAATCACATTAGTAAAAATAATTATATGATATAGCAACAAAAGACTTACCTCAACCCCAAATCTTTGACATATAATCCACTTTAACTCATTTGTGTTAAATATAGAAAAGAAAAGTAATCATTGTTTATTATTGTACTACTCGAACCCAGAATCGTGAATTTTCTTTAAATATACGAAAGAAATATATAACAAGGAATCTTTGAATACCTACGAGTTTAATATATTTTTTCCTTCCATTTTCAATTCAAAAACGGATACTGAAATTAGTCAGTCGATTGAAGTAGTTGCGGAATACATAAGCAAATTTGAAAATAACCAAAACAGTGATTTAATACTTTTAAAATTAAAATCTGAATTCAGTATTTAAAAAAGCGTAAAAAACGCGATACAGATGGTATCGGTTTATATTCGTCTTGCGATGAAAATATATTTCCATTATTAAAAAAATGCCTACAAGTTTTGGTCACTCTACCCGTTAGTGTAGCTTCAGCTGAAAGAAGCTTCTCCCCTCTGCGGCGCCTTAAAATCTAGCTTCGTTCAACAATGGGTCAGGATAGATTAGTTGGGCTATCACTTCTGTTTATACACAGAGACATTCAAGTAAATGTAGACCATATTATAAATAGATTTGCAAATAATAAAAATAGACGACTTGATTTTACGTTATAATTTTTTTCATTTCATGTTTTCTGGTCATGCGAGTATGTTATGCCCAAGAAAATATTATTGTTTGTTTTTTTTTATGTTTTCATTTATAAGCTTTCGTGTTATTAATGTTTTTAAAATGTGTTTAATATTTATCATACATGTAAAAGTTGTTCTTTTTAAATTTACTTGTATTATATGTTTTTTGTTTGTTTTGTTTTTAAATTATATCAGAAATAAAGTCAATATTTTCACTCCCCTTCCACCCCCCCCAAACTTAAACTCTAGATGCGTCACTGGAAACTACTATAAGAAAAGTGACAGAGGCAACCAAAGAAGGCAAAAAAGTCGTTTGACGCTCTCTCTAGTAGAATTGTAAATATCTAGTTTGACTTAGACATCGAATTAAATAATGATTTTCAATCATTATCTAAACAGGAAGAAACTTTCAAAGCATAACTACTTTTAATAGTACTCGTAAAAAAGTTAGAGTCCTTAGGATCATTTAGGTTTACAGCTTATAGAAAAATCAGTTAACAGAAATTATATTAAAAAAGTTTTATTTTTAATCTAATAATTATTTCAAATAGTTTTATTTAAATCGCCCTCTAACTTTTTTCCCAAATATTATGCAACAGGTGTTAGGTTTTAACGATATATTTCATTGGTTATCAGCTGTAAAAATTTTTATCGGTTACTTTCTATCCATATTACTCTCACAACATATACAAAACACTAAAGAAAAGTTCTTACTTGACGGCAAAAAGCACTCCGACGATAACTATTGTCGAAACCAAAATCATGCTTGCGATGAGTTTCCAGTCGATCTTGTATATACATTTCTCTCCATAAAATCCACATTTGGGCTCAGCACGTGGTAGTTTCCCACCTACCCACTGTATAGGCCGCTCCAAGTCAAAGTATTTGAATTCCTGCAAAAAAAGTACAAAAGGGGATTATTATTAAAAAATATATATGTTTCCACAATAGACGTATATGTGAAGGTGTAAAATAATACTCAAAGAGAAGTTCTTACAAAGAGTAAGTAGGTATATACGAAATGGACGAATAAAGTTCGAGAAATGTGTTATATACGAGGGATGATCATAAAAATAAGGAGTAAGGAAGGAAAATTGATTAACTGATTGCAACCGAAAATGTTTCATTGCGTAAATATCAGGGGGGGGGGCTGCGCGTTATTAAAATACTGGGACATTGTCGTTATGATTTAGCAAGTTTTGTGCAAATTGTGGGTGTTCTGCATAAGTACCGACACAGAACAGGTGCGTGTTAGAAACCCCAAAATATGATGATTTAACGCAATTTACCTCTATAAGGTACCTGAGGCAAATAAGGCCCACCTAAGGAACAAACTCATTTTATTTGAAAAAAAAAATAAAATAAAATGGACAATACACATAATCAAAAACAGTTACGCTTCTTGGAACAAATGAATACATTTCTAATAGAAATTTCTATTTGTTTTTTTTAATTTTTGAGCCTTTTTTAAAACGCCTGCAGTGGGCCTTATTATACAACCAAGAGGGTAATAGGGCCCTTGCTTAAAATTCGATTCTTTTAAAAAGGCCCACAAAATATAACGCTTACGCGTGTATTTAAAAATTCAAAAACATTTTTAAAACAAAATTAACTAAAAAAGGCACAAATATTATAAAAGAAACTAAGGCATTCTAAAATAGTTCATTAGCAACACTTTGGACAAACAAAACATTCCGTATCGCATTGTAATAACCCTAAACAAGCTTCATAACACCAGTTTGTGCAAGTTACACATTGTCTCATGTCAAGTTTGTCTTCAGTTCCGCAAAGAAAACAGTACCACGAATCACTGTCCAATGCTTTTTTTGAGGAAATTGAAGCCGAAAATTTTGACAATGAAGGTCTAGGTTCTTTTGCTGCAGACTTACTGATTGACGTTGAAGATTTAGATTCTTTTGATGCAAACCTGATGGCTGCTGTTGAAGGTTTAGATTTTTTTGCTGCAAACTTCCAGGAGGTAGCAGATACTGATGTCGACTTTGTGCTAACGGATGAAAAAAGGTCTTTTGTTACCGCTTGCGCTTTATAATTAAGGGATTTTTTTCCTGTCAGCGGTGTTATTGTTTTTATTCTTTGTTGCAAAAAGCTCAGGAGTAGGAAGCAAGACCTATTAAGAACTTCATTACTAGTGTCCATCATGATGTTGTCTGTCAACGTTTTATTTGTAGCTTTGGTCCCCCCGGCGATTTTCATGATTCGTCATTTTTTACTGGTTTTTCTCCACGTTTGCTGCTTCCTGCTATTGCTGAATCTTTCACGATTTTTGCTAGCTTATTAGTCATCATCGGACTCAGATCTATGATCCGTTGTATTTGTAGCGTTATCAACTTCTAAAATATTCGGAATTACACTGCTCTTTGTGTTGTCTCGCAGAATTCCTTCATCAGGTACAGGTTGTTTAGGGTCTTCTGGCTTACAAGTGTGACGGGCTGCCCCTGTGCGGATATGTTGATAGTATGAAATTCGCGAGTGTGATGACGTAAGACAGTACGAGACACCCCGCCGCAGGAACGGTGAGAGGAGTTTGGTGGTCCGAGAGCAGAGAGAGATTCTTGACGGTTGATCGAGAATTGTGACGTTTCCCGCAGGTTGCCCTGTGTGGATATTTAACCTGAATTTATGGTCAAGAGGGACCAATGTTTTTTTTTGCATAATAGTTAGTGAATAATTCCAGCCGAGTTGCCAAGACTAAATAAAATTTAGTCTAGTTAGTGTGCCATAGTATTTACATAGTGCCAACGTATTAAGGTATTTATGAAATTAACTTATAGTGCCGCGTTTAATCAATTTACGTCAATCTGACTGTTACTGACGGTTACGCAAAACACCCCTCTATAAACTTTGTATTAACTATTTTTTTGTTACCTATTACTAGGTATATTATTCAGCACTTTTGTTGTTTGTGATTTGTTCCATACTATTTCTCTTTTGTTTCATTAAAGTTTTGTTTTTGACTTACTCGGTGTTTGGATTTACTTAAATTTAAAAGAAACCTAATCCTAAATAAAAAATTAATAGTCTCAAGTTCATACGCACCAAATCGGTGTCATTCACAAGTGATGGGACAAATGCTGATTCTGGAATCCTTTGTGGATCAAGTGGAAACATTCCAGATGCTTTAAATCCGCTAATAATATTCTCAGGCGTCATACATTTGGGCCAGACTTTAGTAAAAATTTTACCGAATCGACTCTTATTAAGACGTCGATCTGGATGCGCATCCCAGAATTTAAGCAGTTCTTGATCCCAGTGATGCTCAAAGGATCTGTAAACTGCCTTATCCAGTGGTTGGAGTTTATGCGTCGTATTTAAAGGTAGACAAAACAATCTCCAGATGACTAGAGGCTCCATCGAAAACTAGTAACGGTGGTCCATTACCTTTGTAGCGAGCTAGATGTTCAATAAATTGAATAAAAAGTGATGTTGTCATGCTACCCTTATCTGACATTTTTACCAGGGTACCAGCCGGCAAAGCATCTTGCCATTCTGGTTTCAACCTTTTCCCTTTAAAAATTACCATAGGGGTATGGTGTTTCCTAGTGCATTACAACACCCTGCAATAGTCATATTTTCAGCGTACTCATGTGCTACCATGTGAATTCGTTTCGCACCCCTTTGTCCAATTACTTGTTGCTGGTGGTGGACAGTCAAACGCCAACCCTTTTCATTCATGTTAAACAAGTTTTGAGGGTTTTGATGAATATCCATTTCCTGGTAAATTTCAGAAAGCTTGGTGAAATAATCGTTTACAATATATTTGTTCAACTTTTGCGCTCTTCCTGGGTTCATTAATTGAGCTTTCCGTTTAGAAAGTTGCGGGTTTCGTTTCAAGAATGCGTAAAGCCAATCTTTACCGGCGACTTCCTTGCTCACATGAAAGGGATGTTTAATGTTGTTTTCGACACAGAATTTAAAAACTGATCGCCTTACCAATAATAAAAATATATAAACACACAAATAAAAACTCGAGACATACTCATATTGTGATGTTAAAGTAGCAGAAACAAGTAATTTTCTTGTTTTTGTAAATGTCAATCAGGGAATAATTGCCTGAAAAAATCATTACGTATCTTACATTGGAAACAGTCCTCTGCGCTTTCTGGTACTGCTTGTCATTCATAGGTGGCTCTGAAGTCTAAAGAGTCTGAAGTGACATCGACAACAAAACAAAACCGATACTATTCTTACACAACTCAAAATCTTTGCTAATTCTGTTTAAAAAACCGTACGTTTATCGTACTTTTTATGTAAATACCGTACTTTTATGTACGGTAATTACCGTACGGTTGGCAACCCTGAACGGGGTCGATATTGGCGGATATGATTGACTTGTGGTGGGGGTTGAATCGGCATTGTCAGGTTTATTAATATGTTTCTATTTTGTGAGATATTATTTTTGGCTTCATTAGGCGCCGGGCCTTATTTGTCGCAGGTACCTTACCAATTGGTATACCACTAAGAAGTTACGGAAGCCTGAAGTGGGGCCAAGTTTATTTAATTTTTATTATGTAGATATTTATATATTCATTTTAATTGTGTTCTCATTTAAATCGATTTTTTTAAAAGTAATTTGCTATTTGTTAAATTTATTAATGCATTAATTTAATTTTTCTCTTTTTTCTCGAAAATGTTAAAACTTTCGCATAAAATGAAATATACATTTCAAAAAAGTTCGGTATAGTTATAAGGGCGGGTTACCCCAAAATCCTTCCTTAATTGAACTGGTAATATTAAAGGATTAAATCAAGTACATATATTATCTGTTAAATCCAAAAATAGTAAATTGTATAATTTACATTTATAATAAAAGGAGAGGTTATTAGATGTTATGACGGCTTCACGGCCAATTTATCATGTTGATAGAGTCGATCGAGTTTCCAAATATGCTTTTGATGAACTGGAACTTAATTTAATCGATTATTGACATTCGTTTAATACAGTTAATCACAAGAGAGTTGAGAATAATTCATATCAGATTCAGACGAAAGGGTTTAAGTCACGTCATGCGAACAAATCGGTAAATAGCTCGGTTTGACGAATATAACCTAATTACCCAAGGGATCAAAAAAATTTCTGTTTAATGTGATTTATTATAAACATTACAGATAAATTACTTATTTTTTATTATTATATAAATAAAAATAAAGTAGGGAAACAAAAAGATGAGTTTTTACAAAGTTAAAAATTACCAGTGGCGTTACAATTAAGGATTAGAAAGCTTACAATTATTTAGTGATATTAAAATAAACGTTTGACAAATCTTTTATATCGGTTTTAATATTTACAGAGTTGTTATTTTTTTTACTTTATCGTGTTAAACCAAATTATTATTTCGAATACACCTTCACACGATGTGAAATAGAAAGATAGCGTTCTATTATTTTAAAATTTTTTAAAGTGTTTGTATTCGTCCCCATACTTTTTTTACTACGGTCAGGAAATTATCCTTATTAATTTTTATTATTTTTTTAACGTCAGAATAGGTAATTCCATACACACCCATACGTATTCTACATGGTCAGTCCATATTGTTTAGTACATATTGAAAAAATTGTGTAATCTTTAGTAAAAAATAATAAAAAACCGGATCATACATTTTAAAAACACATTTACTTATATATTGGGTAATCTTGAAGTAGTTCAGCATTTACTATAAAAAATTAAGTTATTTGGCAATAAACATATACTTAGATACTTAAATGAATAATATTAATAATGTTGTCCAGCTATATAAGTGAATACAAAAAAAAAATCAAATCAAGTTGCCTGCTATCAAATCTTGACATTTTCTTAAAGATTATTAAAAATTACTAAGTAACTAGAAAAAAGATAACTTAATGAAAAAATAATGAAAATCCATGATATACTATCT